GCAGAGGTGAACAACTTGTGTTTCGCGCGCTCATATGACCTTAGCAGTTGCGAGCGCCGTAAAACCTTATACTATACAAATAAGTGAAAAAGTGAAATTTTTCTGTCATTTTGGTGTTTACATTTTGCAAGAGCACACGGTCATCCTCAAGACTAGACCTGGGTTTATTAAGTGATCACTTGCAAACCTAGCAAACCTACTATTACAGTCCTTTTTCAAGCAGTGCTGACTTCTTATAAAATTTGTGCTTGTTTGTGTTTGATTTTTATTGTTGAAAGTCAGTTTCTTCCTTTGAGGATCAACAAAATAAATATATCTCATATCTTATTTTTCAGATCCCTTCTCTGAACACAGTGTCTCTAGATGAGCTCAGGTCGAATACAGTTGTCAAGTACCGATGTATGGTTCAGGATGTCTTTGACCCACAGTTTTGCCTTGGAAAATACAAAATTGTAAACTCAAAGACACAGAAGTCAAGGGTAGAATGTGGTGCTTTCAGAGACTTCCCTGATTTGCAGGTTGGTACCACAGCTTTTCGCCCCCTCTTGCCCACCCAGCAGTAATGGGTATCGGACTTCGAGTTGGGGAAGTAAATCCGCTGTGGAGAGGAACTGGCCACACTACCACATTATGACGAAGGCCCTGGAAGTTGTCTCACTAACAAGGCAATCTCCAATGTCAAGATCAGATACGGGAACAACTCTACTTTTTACCACACCTTTATTCGCTTATTACTCATAACTGGGATTTTCCAAAAAAATTCTTTAACCCCCTTCCTCAATGTCGCAGTTAAATAGGCCTCTGTGCTGGGGGAAATCCCATGAACCAAGGCTGCTCAGGAGTGACCCCACTTTACCTCCCATAACTTTTTTATTTATGAGTATTTTCTCATGAATTTCTTCATGCAGATTCTACATTGAACCACATTTCTATTGATATAATGGGGGGGGGGGGGGGGGGGGGGGGGGATTTCATTGAGAAATAGATGGAGAAAAGCTGGAATTAGTAACATGATGCCAAAAACACCACCAAACATAAACAACACACATTCAAGTAATGAGAAACTGGGACCGAATAAAAAAAGGGGAGTACATGTTGTATGAGTGTCTGCAGGTAAAGAGAAAGTGACAAGAGGCTTTTCCTACCTTATACAATGCTTGTACAATCCATGTAAACCCATCTGTCTTTATTTCCAATAAATCATTTTTGTGCGGGATACGATGTGTTAGATCTAGATTTAATCTTCTCTCTGAGCTAAAAATCTGAATCTGACGCTATCGGGGGGATGGTTGTAAACTTAAAGGGAAGGTACCTCAATAATAATTACTAGATTCTAGCAGTAACTTCCTTTATAATTGGTATCAAAACTACCTGTTGCAGTACCGTAAATTCTACGGGCCATAAGCACATCACTACGCGGTTCAGGCCCGTAAATTCTAGGGGTGCGGTAGCGAAGAGGTTAATAGAGAAAGATTTGATGATGTTGATGAAGTCACATGAACTGTACAGAGGTGAGATTTTTTACGAGGCAGGATTTTCTTATAACCTTTAGACTTAGACTGCTGACTTAAAATTGTCGTTTTCATCTTCATCCATTCGTTGTTAACGAAAAGTACCCTGTAAACGCAGATGAAACATCATAATCAGTCGGTCAAAAATGACCAGCAGATATTGCCAGATAATCGCGCCCAAGGAATTCCAAATGTATATTTGATCCAACTGTCCAATATCGTGGCTTTTCACGTAAAAGAGGTTAATTAGAGAATTCTACATGAGGAGACCTGAGTGCACAAATACAAGTAAAGAAAATGTGCTGGCATATCTGTTCTGTAAAGTTTAAGCGTTTGGCTATTGTATACAGCAGAAGTCCCAAGTTTGTTACCTGTATGGGGAGAAACAATATCAACATATCTTAATCTATCTGATGGAACTTTGTATCCCTCTTAGCCCATGTCGGCCCTGACAGACAATGTCGGAGCCCACCACCTAACAAATAATCTAAATTATATTGATGGGGCCTAAAGAACATTCTTTTAAAATGAAGCACCTTTCCTTTCTTGCATTAATTAAATGCTAAAGGATGATTTAACTTTTATTTTATAAGACCTGTGCTAGCATATAATAACCTTTTGATGTTCCCTCTACATGGGTTTAGGGAAAGCCACTCTTGAATGAAACTGATTTGTTTTCAAAATATCTTTTACTTGCCATTTTCCACATTTGAGGAATGTTCACAAGTTCTGATCAATGTATTAGAAAACATCATTTTCATGACTAGATGGCCTCATTTTTTTTCTTTCAGCCTGATGAAAGCGTTGACTTTGAAAGCCCAGAGAACATTACAGTAGACAGACAAGGCTTTTATTGTGTTCCAATACCTGGTGAAGCCGAGTGGGTCAAAGAAATATCCTTTTTAACAACTTTTTCGTCAAGCTGGTGTGTTTAATAATTTATTTTGTGAGGGTATATTTACGTTTTAAAGGGGGGGGGGGTCTTTTTATGGCTTTGTGATGTGTTTCTTAAGGTTTGTTAATTTCAGGGAATGTGTCGTGTCTAAAGATTTTTTGTTGGGGGTTCGTTGTGACTTTGTTTATTGCCAAGTACTTTAAGAGAGGTGAAATCCTTTGATTCATTCAAATATCAGCTGAAGTCCTTTCTGTTTTTAAATTGATAAGATGAATATTTGAAGAGATTTTCTTTTGGTCAGAACGCAACGTTATATGTTACTGTTGTATTGTAAAGCGCTCAGAGCCTGTGTACTTTAATCGGGGTTGAGCGCTATATAAATGTCATTTATTATTATTATATTGAAAGAAACACTTGTTTTATTGAAATGAAGGTAATCGGGAAAAAGATTACCAGTTACATTGGAGAGGTTTTTTTGGGGTTTTTTTTAAATGTCTGGTTTTTTAGGTTTTGAACTCATTTTCAAGGTATTGCGTAATATCGCCTAGAGCTCTGTTTACAAGGGAGTGGGGCCTATAGAAATGATCTTCATTATTATTATTATTAATTTTATGTGATCTGTAGTGTTATTTGTTTAATGTTTTTGTCCAATCATAGAAGTAAAATGATATTGTATTATCTTGCAAATGTAAGTATTTCTCATACAGTTATTTGTCTTAACAAGTTCCATGGTTATAAAAGCAAGGATGTCGAAAGAAAGAAACCATCAAGTTCACAAGAATCCAGACCCTCAAAAAGAGACAGAGAGGCCGAGGGTGATCCTGAGCTCAGTGAAAAGACTTGCAAAAGAGTGGAAAATGTATCCCCTCCAAATGTTGAAGATAAACAGCAGGAAACAAGTGACATGGATGTTACACCTCCTCCTTGTTCATCAGTTGCAGGTAATCAAGTTTATTTTTTTTAAGTGGATATTAGAACTGTTACAACAAACTAGGTCCATGTGTCCATGAGTGTGTGCAAGTTTTTTTGTGGGACTGTTTGTGTTCAAGCATGTACTGGAGAGAAAAAAGAGATGGAGAACAGGGTTTGCTATTAGAACCATATTGTGCATAAATGAAATGTTCTTTGTATTATTACTAAATGCATTTAGCCCTTTCTTAGTGAAGTAAAGTTTTTTATATTATTATTATTGTGTACACAACGAACTCAACCACTTCTCTATAATGACTGCTTTTGAGTATAATGTGGACATTTTAACCCTTAGAACATCTGTTACATCCCTAGCCTGTTGACATAAGATATTATTTGAGGCATCATGGTGAAATCAGGCGCTGGTCAAAATATAATGAAATCAAAGAAACACATTTTTCCACCGCTTTTGCAATTTTTATTGCCTTTTTTTTTTTTGCTCGACACCTTCCATGTCCATATAAAATATTTCTTCATGTGACTTATACTGAAAACATTGATTAAAAGAACAACCCATAAAAATTTAAGTTTCCAGTTTTCAATGACTCTCAGGCTATTGAAGTTACCAAACTTTCGCAGCCATTTGCTCACTTATTTTACCACTGAAACCAGGCAACACCACCTACTTCAATCGTAAAAATCTCTTCTATTCAAGTCAGATGGATATTTTTTTTTCATCAAAAGCAAGGCAGATGAATAAGTTTTCAGATCAGACCAATAACTCCACTTGCCCAAAAATTGACGAGTGTCTGATTCCACTTTGTTGTCACACATATAGCAGGCTGGCTGGAATGTTTCCTGGAATGTTGTATTTTCTTTTTTTTAATAACGTATGTCTCACTTATAAGTCCTACGCTGATAGTGATAGTGGCCAGGTATCATTTAGTGATAGTGTTCTGGATTGTCTGTTCCTAATTGTTTCCTTGATAATATGGTTAGAGGAAAATTTGATAACTGATGTTTCAACTTTTTAAATTCAGGGGCAAGTCAACAACCTACAATGGCAAAGGGGGTTCCAATGAATTTCCCACTGCCAGAAGAGAAAGGCTTTCCTTGCATTGTCAGGGTATGTACTGGGTTGCTTTTCTGCAAAATTGATATTTTAAAGAAGAAATTACTAAGTATGCTTAGGTTGATGTAGCTGACAGAAAATTGAGAAGACATGGAATAACATCAGGAGGCTAGCCAGAATAGGGAAAGGTGGAAAGTGTTTGTTCTTGGCCTATACCCTGATCCAGGGTGAGAAAGACGATCGTGATGATGATGATGCATTGGTTATGTGATTAAGTAGTGGAGAATTTACTTTTTCTTAGGGGTAGCTGTAATGACCAATAAAACCTGATTGTTTCATTTTTGTTAGGGGGTGAAGCATTTTTGGATGATGTTAAGCATCAATGGATTTGTCTGCATTTAGAATAAAATAAGATACTTAAATGTTAGTTTTATCTTCACACTCAAATTTTTTTCGAGCCTATTACTTATTAAAAAGAATATAATCATCTCAACAGGTGTATTCAAATGATGTTGAACTGAAAGCTACAGACTTTGTGGAGATTGTTGGGGTCCTGTCCATAGACCCTCAACTGGCTGCCATTTATGATGATGATGCAGCGTAAGTATTGCAAAAATTGAACTATACCCTGAAGCATTTTTTTGTTCTTTGATTTATTATGGTCAGGAATACTGTATAAGTTACCATGGAACTTGGAAACTTAATAGTTTTATTGTGACATTTACTTAAAGTAAACCCATTATATTGTATTGGTGTATAACCGTTTTTTTGTAATGCATCTACTGATGCTCAGTCAATATATAGATAATTAGACCAGTGTAGGTGTGGTCAAATGTTTTGTTTGGGGGGGGTTACTATCGAAACTTGTTTAAAAGGAAAAAATTTGTCTTCAGATGCCCAAGGAAGTTCAGATAGTAAGAGGCAGGGCTAAAGAAAAGAGAAGAAAAAAAATCATTTCACCATGAGGAAATGTGGGTTACAATGGTGACTGAATAACAGTTTATATAAAATAATGAATAGTTTCCAGTTATGTCATGTTACAAAGCTGCTCGTATTGTGAATTGCACACCCCACATTGCCTCTGATTTTTACATTGTGTGTTTAATTTCCTTTTGGAAGCTATAGGTCAAAAAAATTATGCTCCCCGCGGGGCAGTGCCACTGACTGTAGTGTCTTTAGGCCGTTCCCAAAGGGGGGACATTTCTCGTTCAAGCACAGTAGAATTGTAAATGGGCTGATTCATGTCATGCTCATGACTCTGCCTGATCTGCAACTGGGAACTGCTTTTTCTTTCCTAATCCTTATTATTGTCATTTTCCTCTACTTTTTTTGTATGTTTGTCACTCTGCTGTGAACTGCTTTTTCCAGGGTGCCTTGATAGTCGAAGCAGACTTTGTGCTGTTGAGGCTAGAGAGGTGAGCAGAGTAAGTCTTGATTCCCTGTAAGGACTTCTCTGTTGACACCCACCCCTTGGCGCACATATGACCTTATGCAGTTGCAAGCGCAGTAAAACCCTCTACTAAAAGAAAGAAGAAGAAAATGTTGACCAATTGCTTAAAAATTTTGTGCGAGCTGAAATCATCTATTTTTATTTTTGCTTTCAGCACTATGATATATGCATTTACACTCAACACTTCCAGAGAATACTCAGTCCCGCCAGCACTGGTACCAGGGGTGTGAAGTGCCTGAGAAAAGAAAGAAATAAAGTCCATCAACCATACTTTAATTATTGAATAATCGAATAAATTACTCTAGCATGCACAAAGCGAACAGATTTTGAGGTCTAGAATTTTTTTCGTTCATGAACAGTATAAAATGGATAGGTCAAACACAGAAAACTCCAAATCACACATCTGTCAAACTTTTTTACTTTTTTTCTTTCTTTTTTTTTTTTTTTTTTTTTTTTTTTTTTTTTTTTTTTGTGTGTGTGTGTGTGTCTGTGTGTGTAAGATATCCCTCGGACTACCTAGGCCGGTCCGGACGGATTCAAGCTATCCGTGTCATACTCCATATTCTTCGTATTTACAATTTTTACATAGCGAAAAGATTTCTGTGTCCCGCCAATTTCACTATGCGTGTGCTAGACTGTATTTTGACATGGGGTGACAGCATTTTACCTCTAGACTCCAGCCCTGTTTGAACACGTCTTTGGTTCTGTTTGACAGAGATGACGCGATGGACCAGGAGGAGCTTCAGGCCCACGAGCCTCCCCCATCACTTGTTCCGCGACTTCACGCTCTGGTCATTCGACCGTTGCAGCACAACAACCCTCAGCTTCCAGCGCTTTCGGGATCAGAAACTTATAAGCAAGGTAAAGTTCAGTGAATTGACCCTGTAGAAATACAAATATGGGTCACAGATTTTATATCATGTTCAATACGTTCTGGAAAAGCAAGAAAGTCATTTTTTTATAATGTTTTTCTTCATTTTCATCCAGTCTTACTGTATTTTTATATCAGGCAAGGTATTTATTCATCAAAATATTTGGGGGTGGCGTTCTTTTGAAATTGTTTTTGGCGTACATTTCACTTATCTTTTGACCTTCTGGTCTTGATTTACTCCTCAGTTTGTGTTTTTCTGCTAGCAGCTGTAAAACACGTGTGTCATGTAATATGCCCAGATTCATGTGAATGAAATAAGCCAATTCTATTTTTGTTTTTTGTTGACAGCTGTTTCTCAGCTCATGCAGGATGCAGGTTCCCTTCGCCTGGAGCTGCTGTCTGTGCTAGAGCATGCTTTGCTGTGTGACAGATTAGCTGCTGAATATCTGCTGTGCCACCTTGTGTCAAAAGTGTAAGATGGAAAAGATTTCAACTCTTGTTTTACTTTTGATGAAATCTACCTAATGTTATTATTTTCTTTGGGGCCTATCTAAGGAAGCATGGTCACTTACGGGGCGTTGATTGATTTTTGTATTTTGAGGCACCTCCCTTAAGCCTATCTGTACGCCCTGGGGTCATTTTGTACCCCCGGGGTTGTATTCTTCACATTTTAGAATACTTCTAGTACGAAGATCTCTTTGAAACTTTCAGTATTTTTCAAAAAATGATTTTGACAGACTGCTATGCAAAGTGTACGGATCAGATTAACAAGTAAATTTCCTCTTTGGAATAAAGTGGTGGCACAGAGTTCCCCACGTGGTATGGGTACGATAGTAAAACAGCGTTCGGATAGGGTTAAGTGCAATGACTAGTCATGAGAAAAGAATGTGGACAGGAATATGAGGGGGTTGGAGGAGAGATGTAACTGTCTAGTACTGCTGTACTAGAGTTGCTTTTTTATTTGGTTTCTAGTTGCCAGTGTCTCATGGAAGTGGTCTCTGTTGTATTTGTAACCTTTAATAATTCGTAATTTACTGCTACATCATATTTCGGCTGAAATTTGTCTTGATTTTTTAGTTCCATATTGCCTATGAGGTGGGGGTTTTCTTGCCATTGATTGTCAGGCGTCTCTCTTTTATGTACTTTCAGGTATGCCCGAGCTGATGTCTTGCCTTTGGGAAAACTATGTGTAAATTTGAGCCGTTGCCCCGTCACACAGAGATACACCAAGTTCCTGAATCATCTCATTTCTCAGCTGGCCCCTCAGGTAAAACTCATGAATTGTATAAACTTTATTTAGAGATGTTGTCACTTGATGTGTAGTCTCTATCATTGTCCCCTGCTAATTTATGTTCCTACTTGAACTGTAAAAGGAAAAGATTAATTGCATCAACTGTTATTTTTTTAAACCCTTCAGTTTCATGGATGATGTATCCCAAGCAAGTTGTTTTTATTTTGAAATAGTAAATAGTAGTATTGTTTGAGCAGGGCAAAGTTTAATGTGATAAAAACAAGCTCCAAAAAACGTTTTCCAAAACCATTGACACTATTAAGTAGATTTGTGGACTTCAGCCAGTTTCCTATTATTTAGTATATATTTGATCTTCATACCTATTATTTAGTATATATTTGATCTTCATAATTCAAAAAATAAAATTTGGTATAGATTCTACTTTTGCTGTATTTACCTCAGAGAGAGGCACTCCAGTTGTGCTCACCGTTTGAGAATGGCACACATGCTTGCTATTTATATCCTGGGTTTCATAAAGCATGAGCTCTGGATCTTCATGTGAAATGATCTCTGCTTGTAAACAAATCCATTTTGTCAATGTGTACTGGCTGTCGTCTTGAACTGATTTCAAAGTGGAAAACATGGATGGTGCTCTTGTGTGGTTTGCTTCTTTCCTGTCAAACATCTATCATCTTTATCTCCCCTCCTTCTCTTTTATGTTTGTTACTCTCTTGTAACACCTCTAATCTTCTGGCGCTCATATGACCTTACGCAGTTGCGAGTGCCGTAAAGTCTCTACTAAAACTAAAAGTGGAAAACAAGAGGGCAACAAAACTATTTGTATATTTGTGTCTGATGCTCGTTTTTGGGTTGCTGATGGGCTTGCGATGTTCAACTTAAACGGCTTCATTGGGATCTTGAGCTTCTTGCAAGTCATTTTCTTGAGAATATATTCTATGTTGCATTTGCAAATATCCAGGCTGTTCTGCTGGAGATGTCTATAGAAAGCACCAACAACTGGACATTGATTCCAAAGAAAGACTACAAGGTGAACCGGATTACAGCAGGCATGTTGCAGCTTGCCCCAGGGACCTGTCTGGTGTTGGACGAGACTGCCCTCCAACAAGGCCAGCTGAATCACACAGGTGAGATTCAAAGTCATTATGGCTGCCTTCAAACTCTTTGATTTTACGGCAAGTCTAAAGTTTCTAGTGGTCTTACATTATTGAAAAAGTACCTTTTGCTTTGGCTTTTTAACGTAGTGCAAAGTAAGCAATTGGAATGTTAAAAATTTGAGTGTCATTTGTAATTGACGTCATAATTCAAGCAAAATCCTTTTGGATGAAAACTTAAGGAAGTTAGTCAGTAGGAGATGGGTGTAAAAGATCAAAGTACATGTGGTTGTTGGGGTCGATGTATTGATCTTGGCCCTTAACTTTCCTTTATTTTTTTAAAAACTTTGGTCTGCTGTTTCTATATAGGCCTATTTTGTTTTTTGACTATGTTCATCAGATGAACTGCATACTTGTTGGTCTAAGTGCTGTTACTGGCATCTTGTTTTGTGATAACTTTTGATTACAGCTGTGCACAGATATTTTCTTATATTTTTCAGAGGGGCTATCTTGTGTTTTATGTTCTCTCCCCTCCTCCCTCACTTCAGGTTATTCAACTTTATTTTATTTTTTTGTTAAAGTAAGTCATGGGTGTTGATTGAAGGACTCTCTTGTGTGATCTTCTTTCATCTTGGACAGCTAACAATGCTGATTTGCTGTAGACTTAACGAGCCATTTGCATGCATGACTAACACAATGGTTTATGAAGAAAGTATTTGCTTAATTAGTTGACTTTGTAATATGAGGTATTTGTGCATCTTATTGTCATTTATATATATCCCCTTTCTTTGTCTCACAAGGTGTTATGAATGTGAAAGCTCTGGCTGATGTGATCAACTGGCAGAAGGTAGATTACGACTTTGAGTTTCACCCCATTCCAGTTTACACAGACGTCAATGTGTTGATACTCTCAGAAGGAGAGTCCCTCCTTCCTGTAAGTGCTGCAATGGAAGAACGCTCTTGTGCACTCTTTTCACTTCTTGTAAAAGCATAACTGACAACCTATGCGTTAAAAAAAAGGTTTTCTTGGAACCCAGTACAGAAATCCTTTTTTGTATTGGAAAATATGTATTATTTTCTGGATATACTCCTTATGAACTTTCTAATTAGGCAGTTTAGTGAACGCGCTCGTTGCAGGGCGAATCGGCCACGATACGCCCCACAAACTTTTGTGATCTGCCGTGAAGCCTCGCATCATAGTGGGTCTAAACAACTCACATTTTTGTTTCGTTTTGTTAATTGCACTACCACATCCGATATATCTTTTTAAATGGAAAAGAATGATCTTCAAAATGGCGTTCTTCGCATGAAAATCGATTCCCTAGAATTGGAAATGATTGCTTCTGAAAACAAGGCAAATTTTACAACGCGATAAAATAAACTCTACTTGCTGTATATTTATGATACTTTCTGTAGATATAGATTATCCATTCCTGTATCTTTTGACACCTGAGTTGTTTAGGTTGAAGTTATCACAATGCTATAGGGCTTCCCGACAAAATACACACACAAAGGCCGAATCGGCCAATCAGCAACCGGGCGTCCCCGCTCTCCCCACACACTGAGATAACTTGTTGCGCGGGCATCGCATTTATTCGCACTTTACTTGTTTCTCCAGATAATAATATGTGCGGCTACGAATTTAAGTGCGAACTGACAAGAGGGCAGAAGGAAGAAAGGAACAGTTTTGTTTTTATTTTACCATATTTGGTTCTTGAATAGTGCAGATGATAGCTAAATCTAGATTCCCTGTCTAGAATTAATAGTAGTCAGCCTGCATCTACTAGATTCAAATAATTATGTCTTGGGGTTTTGGAATGGAAATAAAACTTGAATTGCGCTGTCTAAGTAATTTTAGATTCAGCGTCTAGCTATATTATTTTCCAGAGCTAGGCTAATAATAATAAATCTCATCTCAACAATCACATACTTTAACTTTTATTAGGTTCAACTTTTTTCTTAAATCAGGTTTGTGCAAAGTTACTAGTTGAGAACAGAGTTTATAAGCCTTTCAGTACCTAATAATTTTATATGTTATTTTCTGGATATTTTTACTTTTTACCTATCAAATTTTCCCATTTTCTTTGATATTGGCCTAAGAATAGCAGAATTTTCAGACAGTGAGTCTGACTTGATACTTTTTCTTCGTAATTGTTCTCTATCAATGGAAATATTGCTAATTGGTGATAACTCAAAACAATACAACTGTCATGAAGAGTGGAGAAAAATGTGTGGGAAAAAATAAAAGAGTGCAGTAAACTATAATTTACTTTTAAAATTGCAATTGAAAGTGAAGATCATAAGATGATTTTGTTTTTTCTGGTCATCTTTCTGCAGTTTATTAAATGTTCCAGTGGGCTTAAAATAACGTCTCCGACGAACATTTTTCTCGACTTTATAAGCTCTCTTATGTACTTGAAAGAATGTAATATAGTTTTATACAGTTGTATGCACAATACTTTGAAAAGGAAGGATTGGGAGCTGACTTATGGTCATTAAGAGTGGGTTTTTTATTAAACACAGAATCTGTTTTACGGTGAATAAAGCGCTAAAAACAAGTTTTAAAATTTAAATAATGCCCTTAAAATTTGGAAATACTACTTAATTGGCCTAACTATTTAATGATTATGATCAGTGAAAAAAAAAAAAACAAAGAAAATTATGTATGATTTGTGTAAATGTGACCATTAGCAGCAAAGATATTGCCCATTTTGACAATTTCGGGTTATCCACGAGGGTGATTTTTTACCAGTATTACCTGTCCTGGGCAACAACGTCATTGCACGCCGGACAGGTCCATAAGTGCTCGGTTCCTCTCTGCCCCAAAGCCCTCAAGGTATCCATACTGATTGTTCCAGTGGCTGTTGGATATGGCGACGTCTATCCTTTCCAGATAATCGTTCCTTTCTTCCTTCTCCCCTCTCTATCCCCATTTCCTGCATCCTGATGATTGCGTAGCGTTCTGCTGTTTCCCTGTCTTCCTCATCCCGCATTTTTTTCAAGACTCAAATGTCACCTCTCCATCAACCGCGGCACTGCCCACCAGCCTATCGTCAGCCTCCTCATTACCCTTCACTCCAGAGTGCCGAGGACAATATCCAAGTGGTGGCTCTAAGTGCTGAGTGTTGTATTGGGTTCTTCCATTCACTCCGAAGCAGCCCTTTCTCAACCCTTCGCAGGATGTTGTGGCAGTGTGTGACAATAATGAGATGGATAGTCAGCCAAGCGCTCTTGTTGCGGCCTCAATCTCCATTTTAATGCTTGAAGTTGTTCTTTCTATGACCCCTGACATGCTATGAACCTGTTTGTTCCCACTGTACACCACAAAACCCCACCCACTTCTCTCACCCCTCCTGACCGATCCATCCGTGTAGATCACTGGATCCTCGGCTTAACTGTCATTGTTGTTAATGACAGCAGCACATTCCCGTCTTTCACGACCCCTAGTGATGTGAACATTGGCCAGGCTTCTGCAATCGGGACTCAGTTCAAACCATTCCTTTCCACTCCATATTTCATCGATGCCACAAACTTTCCTCGAGGAGTCTTCAGCTTCTGCCATCCATGAGCTGTCCCGTTTGATACTATTTTCTTTGATGCTGCTTAGGTTGTCATGCAAAGGGTGCCCCGGGTCTCCCAAAACATCCAAGTACAGCTTTGTTTTTGTCACCTTATGCCTCACTCTGATGCTGGCCAGGTCAAGGATTATCTCATACATACAACATGGGTGTCGTTTGTTCAACCCAAGACTGCCCTCATAGCTGCATTTTGTACTTCACCACATTAATGCCCTTCTGAGCCCTGACAGCAACATTGTCAATATGATTTTGGCCTATCTTTTGTTTTGTTATTGTCTTTACTTACTTGTCTTACTTGTCCACTATGCTTTGGTCTCTGCAGTCGGAACATGTCCATCTCTGCTCTCCCCCCCCTCTTCAGGATCCATCCCAGAGTCTGTCTGCTTAGTTTCCATCATAATCTGGTTGGAGATCCGCCGGACTGGTCCGCACACAGATGGCTGTGTTTCCCCTCTGCTCTTTGGATCCCCTTATCCCTCAATCTACCCAGAGTGTGGGAACCACTATCCGCCCTATTCTTCCTCAAATTTTCCCTTACAGCAGTTAAGATGGTTGGTGGGTCCAGTGTTATTGTCTTGATACACATATGGCATGCAATGGTCTCAGTTAATAACTAGTGGTCCATTTTTTTATTTCAACAGAAAGATATTCTATTGCCTGTGGCAATAAACAATGAGATCCTAGACTTTCCTGATCATTTTGCAAAACTTGATGGTCGCCTGTCTCCTGAAAATTTGAACAAGCTGCGATCATACATTACTGCCTGCAGACTCATTGACTACAGTGTCTCAGAAGAGACTCAAAAAGTAAGTACAGATAAACAGTTATTGCATACTGATAGGGCGGGGTGGTGAGCAAAACTCTAATTACCGTATTTACTTTGTATGTTTATAAAATGTGTTACTTTTTTTCTTGGTTGTTAGCATTGTAAATCTCCTGGAGCCTCGCTGGGAGGGTGTTACCTGTATGTAAATAGGAGTGATATGTAGGTAGAAAAGGGTCCAATAAAGGTGAAATAGATTAACCAACTGGAGAGGATCAGATTTGTAAGTAGTTTCTTGTTATGTGGTCTTATAGGGAAATGCGTGGGGTCAGTGTTAATTAAAGAGTTATTTTGGTGGGCATAATTTTGGGGGGTTTTTTGGCAAAGGGGATGTTTTTAATAAAGAGCGAGTAGTGTCATTTGAGTCATATTTGTAGTGTTTAGTCATTGTAAAACGCATACAGCTTGCTATTTGAACTGGGATATGCACTGTACAAATGCTTTTTATTTCTTTTATATTTTGTATTTGACTCAGGTGATACAAGATGACTTTGTGGACACGAGACAGAGGAACCCAAAGGACATGACTATTGAGGATTTCCAGAGATTGTTGGGCTTAGTGCGGTAAGTGTGATTTATTCCTCCTCTTCCTTTACAGCTTCCTTCTCCCCCCTCCCCTTATTCTCTGATACTAGATCTATGAAGTTATTGGCTGTGGGCTTCTACAGGGTGCGTTATAGAGTGAGTGAAGTGTCCCTCGCGTTTCAGGTAGCTATGTCCTGTTTTCTTAGGTACTATCTATACAGAGAACTTCTTCAATATTGGTGAGAATTTATGTGGGATCCTGCCCATAAATTCGACATCGGGTCTGTTTTCTTTGATTTCCCACCTTTGAGATTTTTTCAGGATGTGCAAATTGCTTTCAGGACTCCCTATTTTTGTCTTAGATAACAATGCGTTTGATCCCACTTTCTTTAGATTCAGGGATGTGAAAGTCCTGGCCAAAAAGATATCCCCCAACTCATGCCCGTCTGAACCTGGTTTTCTTGTCATGAACTATTCTCAGTGCTACTTGATTGTCTCTTTGCTTTCATTGGGAAGAGTATCTTGTTTGTGCAAGACCTATAGATATCTCTGTCAAAAGGACGAGACAGTTGGGATTCTGCCTGTTGTGGGATAATTATGAAAATGTGTTTGTCTTTAACTGAATAGGTATTTTGCTTATTTTCAATTGTGAAGTGCTGATGTATGGCTTCCTCTGAAAAGAAATTTGTTCATGTATATACAGTCGAACCTGCCTTAACGGAAACCTGTGTAAAACGGAAAACTGTCTTAACGGAATCTCCCCGCTCCCCCCTTGATATATTCCTCTTTAATTACCTGTATAAAACGGAAACCTGTCCAATGCGAAAACGGAAAGAAAAATCCGCTCCCTTCCGAGGGTTTCACCTGTCTAAGACGGAAAATGCTTTGCCTGCTCAGCCCTGATTTGAAACAAAACTCGCAAGTGTGGTTCCGCCGACTCTAAACTGAACGCTATGGTCATGGCGCTGGGCGAGGAAGGGGGGTAGGGGAGCAATTTGGGGGTAGATGTTACCCCACCATGTGAGCCCTGAGCGATGCAAATGGTCAGTGTAGAGTGTAGGTGTGAAATCTCACGACTGCCCGTGAGAGTGCTCGAGTAGCGAGCCACTACGGTAGCTTTCTTGAGTAGCCAGAAGCCAGAGGTGTGAAATTAGTTTGACCAATGCCTGCCGCCCTGATCGTACAGCTAGCCGAGAAAAAACATGTAAGTGAGGGGTGGCATTGGTGGTGGGTGGGGGCTAAGGGTGGACGCAAAGGAGATGTTCAAACGTTTCTGTTTTTAATAGGTCAAATAGTGGTCCAATGAATGGAAAGCACTGGTGGTAATTGGATAAGTAAGACTGACGCATGTCATTATCAGACAGGATAGCAGTTGAGAGGTGTGAAGTTTTGACCACTGCTTGCCGATCGGACAAGTGATCCTTGATCCCACCGGCTGGGCCTTTGACACCCCCCCCAATTCCCCTGTCTAAGACGGAATTTTTTTCTGGCTCCCTTGCGATTCCGTCTTACACAGGTTCGACTGTATTTATGTGTACAGTGTGATGGAATCAGGCACTCATCAATTATTGGGTCGATCTTTAAGCTTGTTCATTTGTTAACTGCCCGGCCAGTGGGAAAATGTTGATTTCTTCAATTTCGTTAATTGATAACGTCTGATTTTACCTCGATGCCACACCTATGTGCTTATTTTTTCTGAAAGTGAAAGATGGCAAACATCCCAATTAAAAAATCTTTTATAATAAGACAAAGTTTGTTATGTTCCTTAAACCTGAACTTGAGTACACATGACAGGACTTGACTAGTATCACATTTGATATTGTAAAAGGCACCCAAGTCCATGAATTTATGTCAATGTTATTCTAGTTATAATACTGTTAATTTTTATTTTTTATTTCTTTCTTCTTGCATGTGAACAGTCTTCTGACCTTGACTTACGGCCTGTCGTCCCCTACTGTTGAACTGTGGAACAAAGTGCGCTCCATGGAGGAAGAAAGAAAAATCAGATTAGCCCAGCAACCAAGGGCAGCAGCTCAAGGAAATCAGTGAAGAAAAATGAAAATGTCCAAGAGTGGGACTTATTGTTCCATGAAAGTTTTCAATTAAAATGTATAGTTCTGCAAAATGTTCATGCTGGTTTTGGCTATTTTTGAGTCTACTACTTGTGCAGAGCTACATCAGAACCTTTTTTTTTTTCTTTACCAGGCATTGTGTTTTTCAATGAGAGGGGTTACTTTTTAGTTTCCTTTGAAAAAATTCTTCAGCTCTTGAAACGTTTTTATCATAGCTGCCACTTTCCCTTTGCCACTTGGTCGCAAATTTCATACTTTTTTTTCCACGCGGAAAACACCGAACCGGGAGAGAGACGAAAACGCGGTCTGCGCATGTCCGCCGTAGCTTTCTACTTCCGTTCTTCTAGGCCCAGCGCTAGTTTCACATTGTTTATTGTTGTGGAGCAACACAGTGTCGATCGGGCATCGGGACGTTAGCGCGCCGAGTTGTCATTGAAATTGGCGGAAATTCTAGAGAAATTGATTCAGAATGCAAAAATAAAAGGAGCTGGAATGAGAAAGAAGCAGCCGGTGTGCGACTTGAAAAGTTCATTAGAAACTTGAACTAGCTGTTTTTTTGCAAAAGAAATCGCGGCACTCCTGTTACAGTCCTGTACAATTGCGGTCCCGTTTGTTTACATGACGGCTTATTGTGGCTGCTGCGGAAGTGAATCTAGATCTAGATTTAGATCTAGAAAATCTATCTCTAGATATAATCTAGATCTACACATATTTAGATATATCTAGATCTAGATTAGATAGCCTAGGCTATAATTTTAATTCAGTTTATCTCTAAATAAGAAACACACTACAGGGGCACTAAGTGCAAACGGGACCGCAATTGTACAGGAGTGCCTGTGTATCCTTGATCCGATACTGCTCTACGTCTATGTATGGACACGTTTAAAGTGAAAGAAATCTTTTTATGAGACACCAGCTGGCAAAAAACACTAGATTTTTAGTCACCAAGTCCAAACTGTGTCAAATTGACTCGAATGCTTGTTAGTCAACTTACTTAAGCCTTTACGTTGTTGTTTTTTTTTCAAATACATTTTAATTCAGTTGCCTATGGTTAACAATATGACAGTTTTCCCTTCCAAACCCGTAGGCTAGATTTTCCAGTATATATTGCCTCTGGATCTCACTGGTTTCGGAGAGCGCGCGTACGCTTTCGCTTGAATTTCCTCCTTTTTAAAAATTTCTGAGTGGCAGCTATGTTTTATACAAATACAAGGATATTTTTCTTCCTGAGTCGTTGTCATTTCTGAAGCATCCTTGCTGCTTATTGTAAATGCACTTTCGATCATACTCTCACGATTGCTGATGGTTGATGATTAGTATAAAATTTTGTAAGAAGCACAAATCCACTTTCAACATTACCGTCAAGGGTGTGTAAAATGATGGGATATTCAAACAAAATGAGACCTCTGGTGAATTGCACCATTTTTACTAATAGGCCAACTAGTAATACAGGTGCTTTCAAAGTCTCTATAGAGAGTTGCAAGGAAAACTGAACAAAATGAGCATCAGTGGAGCACGATACTTGCAAGCCCAAAACCAAAATAATCCAATCAGTTAGTTTGGCATATGATGAGATAGACATTGCTGTAGGCTACTTCTTTTTCAAAAACCATGTGGTAGTGGTAGATGTCTGAAGAACACTTTATAATTATTCTCCATTACAAAACATCAGTTACCTCTACACTTCACAGGCATCTGTGGTGTCACGATCACACGCAGGAGACTTGAATTGATTCCTAAGACTAAGAGAGGAGAAATTCTTAATGAGTATCTTGATCTATCTGCTGGGATGTTGCATTCCTCTCATTTCTCGGCCCGCATTGGCCCTGATGTGCAGGGTCAGAAGCCCACCTCCTAAATGATCTAAATTGTATCAATGGAAATGATAAAACTGAAACAACTGCATTTTAAAAATTGCGTATTGTATTTTTCTCTACACTTGCACCTACTAGTTTCAAAGGGTTGTTTGTTTGAGTAGAGAGAAGCACATTATCACGAAAAGTCATGTTGTGCTTGGATGAAAAAACAAGAAAAACAGAAACAATGGAGATGAGGAAAATAAGTAGGACTCCCCAGCTGGCTACCTCGAACCACCCACTTATGTTCAAAGGTGACACTCGGCCAAGTTGGTACAGTTTGAGAAGAGAGAACCACCCCAACACAATAAATTGTTTGGTTCAATTGGCAGAAGGAAAGAGCAGAGGTCCCGCCTCTTAAATAACCTAATAGTCTTAAACCTATACCGTTTCACAATTTTTCACTGAAATGTGGACACTGACTGATTGGTCACAAGGGGCGCAAAAAAGAAAAGTATGTTTGACATCGGTTTTTCCATTGTGGGCTATATTTTCTCACTCTCACAGAGACTGGCAGCGCTCATTTTTACGTATGTGACTTATTAGATGGACCAAAGCAGACCCAGCCATGCATCATGCTGGGACAATAACCCAGAAAAGGAAAAAAACTGACATAGCTGGTGTTTCCCTTTTGCCTTTCACCTATAGTCTAACCTCGTACACCTACACCCCACGCTATTCGGCCAGGTTTTGCCAATGTACACTAAGGAACACCTCTATCAACATAGCATTTGTGACTTAACACCACCATCCGCCAACTGTCTGAATTGTACGGTCCTTTTTAAACTAAAATATAATTTGCCCCGCAGTACACTTCACAGGGCACCAACACGTCAACAATGGCTGCTTGATCATGTTTTTCCCCACACACATCTGTGTGAGCTCCACCTATTTCTAGGGCTCCTCGAGCTCCTGATTTGCACTGGGGTTTTTTAATGTTATCAGTTCAGACTTTGCAATATTATAACTTTTAAAAATTGGAATTAAATTTGTATGATGGCTAGAGAAACTTCAAAGGAATTGTGCCAACTCTGTCTTCCAACAAAATATCTGGCATTGCCAGGTATCAGCCCATTAATGACCCAAAGACTGGCTGGCGCCCGGAAATCTTTTACATTATTATTGAGAGGACTCGCGCTCAAACTCAAATCCACAGGATTGGTCTACGGCGGCACGAGGACATGAGTACAATGTGTTGGGTAAAAAAACGTATGTCTGCAGGGTCCTTGACACATATATAGCCTAGTATTCTAGCTTTTGATCCTTACTTCATTCAAATTTGAAGTATTGCTTCTAATTCTAAGTTCAGCTGGAGCTGTGCGTGTAGTGATTAGTTGCAACTTATGTTTTAGCTGCACATTGCAATGAGGCAAGACTGGCCACGTTTTTTTTAGTCTCTACCAGTCTACCACTAGTTGAGATTGAGATGGCAAATGGTGGTACATGTACAGTAGAACAAGACTAGATCTATAGACCCTATTACCAGAATCCCTTTTTTTTCATATATATGTAACTCAATTACCGTCGGTGGCCTAGTGGTTAGGCTCTCGGACTCACAACCGTGATCATGGGTTCGAATCCCGTCAGGGGCCCGACGTTGTGTCCTTGGGAAAGGCACTTTGGGGGGCTCTCGAGGCCTAGAGGTTAAGGTGTTGGCCTCTCATTCAAAGGTCCCGGGTTCTATTCCGGGTAGCGACCAAAAAATTTTCTTCTCTAAAAATAAAATTGTCTCCTTTCACCTCCTTTCCTGCTCTCTAGCAATGTTCTGTTGTCTGTTTTCATTTCCACTTTCTGCCCCCACCCCCTCACCTCCTTTGCCCCCTCCTCGGGGCTCCTGACTCTTTCTGCAGCCTTTCTACTGCTACTCCTTGGCTCCTCTTTACTGTTGTCTTTCTGCCACACCCCTGATCTTCTGGTAGGAAAGATCTACACCTAGCCTTCTCGGACAAGGGCGAAAAATCTCGGAGTCGGAGGGCCCGTGTGCAAGTTGCGCACGTTAAAGATCCCTTGGTGGTCTAAAATCGATAAGAGTAGGCTTCGGCCGCCACCCGGGCAAAATTCAAAAATGTCCTACCAACTGAAAATATTAGGTGTGTCCCGCGCGCTCATATGACATTATGCAATTGCGAGCGCCGTAAAACACTTTACAAAAACAAAAAACACACGAAGACCATATGTCCTGACCTCTTCTGTACATTTTATCATCATCACGGCTACCATCACATCATCATCATCAAATCATCTTCATTTACATCACAAAAAACACCTCCACAACCATCCACTTCATCCAGTGGCGGTTGGGCGGACCCAGATTTGGGTGGGACTTATTAGGTTGGTTCCACTTCTTTACTACAAAAAAATCAAGAACTAAGAGCTTAACATTGATGATTTTTCTATACTCACGGTGAGCCACGGCATTTTAATTTTAAGAACCATTCAAACAAGGAGAATCAACTTTGTCTCCTATCTCTTTATTCTAAGTTAGCTCTCGATTCTCCTGGATGGCGGGGACGAAACCGTTTCACTTCCAAATTTTTTGTAACTAATTTTCATCTGATGAAAAAGTTGCCTTAAAAGTGGTTCGACGTGATTTATACTTATAGCACTTAAATCTCAGAGGCACACACATCACCTCATGCATAATATTATTATTCCGTCTATGATGAGCTTGTTTCACCCGTGTAGTCGAGGAAAATTGAAAGCACCTAACAAAGGCCCAACGAGTGCATAGGTGACTGTCACTGGGGAAAGTGTGTCGTAAACTTTCACCCCATTGTCAAGGCTAGGAGAGCGCGAGCCCTTTGAAAAGAGAGAGAGTTAATAACATAAGACATAGTTCTATGTTGCACTCTTTGTATTCTCTCATTCTCTCTCTCTCACTCACTCAGTCACCCACTCATCTATCTCTCTGTGTGCATGTTTGTCGTTTTAACTGTAGTAGCCTGTTAGTTCTCTCCCTCTCTTTCTACCCCCCCCCCCATCTCTCTCTCTCTCTCTCTATCTATCTATCTATCTCTCTCTCTATCTATCTATCTCTCTCTCTCTCTCTCTCTCTCTCTATTCTGCTATTGCGGCGTTGCCTGGCACATTGCGTATATCTAATACTAATTTACAATATCTTTTGATTTCTAACAACGCATACTCCTGACCTAAAGATCCTGTCATCAATAAACGATCTCATCAATACGATCAATAATATTG